GAAAGGAAAGTTAAAAAGTTTGTTCATTCGTTATATAATAATGTTCAAAAATATGATAACTCAGTATGTGGTAAATATATTGACCCTTCAGAAGTTTTCAAGAAAGCAAATGAAGAAGTTGATGTCACTTTTGATATGATTATTCCGGTAAATGATTTGTTAGCATTTCAGGCGTTCGATGATTATCCTAAATCATTTGGTGAAATCATTCTTAAATATTATGTTTTCAAGGATACTTTAGTATTTTGTCAGGTTGACCCGTTAAGAGTTGCTGATTTACAAAATTACGTTTATGAAAAGATAACTGATGTAAATTATGAAAAGATTATGAATCATGTTTATAAATATGATCGCAAATTCCAACAAATCGGACTTCCTGCCAAATTAATTACAAGCTTAGCTGCTACATCTGCTGACGCAAAAGTTGATAACGTTATTATTTCATGCACAAAGATGGAAGTTTTAGAGGATAAATGCATTACACCAGGATACGGTTTAATTGAAGAATCAGTTAAAGCAATACCACGTTTATTCAGTAAGGAAGATCCATTCATGATTCCAGCTCAACATATTGACGTTCGTTCACTAAATGGAGGTTGCATCACTCCTGAAGGTATCAGTTCTGATTTCTCATACGCTCTTCATAATGTTACAGATGTTGTGTTAACATTTCCGAAGAATGCAATGCAAAGAACAGTTTTAGAAAATCCAATGCTTCGAGGTCTTCAGGTCACTATAGATTCCAGAAACTTCCCCGATCAAGCGATGACCACAGTGGGTGACATATTCTTTACACGTATGCTTCAAGCTTCTGATTTAGATGGAGTGAATGAATGCACAGAAGAATACGAGGACTCATTAACTAGACCACTGAATGATGATAATGGCACACCATTAGCTAGAACATGGAAAGACCAAACTTCATTCTTATGCACTATTCCAGTTCAACGTGATGGAGCGGGTATATTCTTTGATGGATTAGAAACTTTCAACTCACAAGTTACAGTACAAGTGAAAGCTTATCCAATCATTCAGGGTGTAAATGACACTTACTGTTCAAAGGTGACAAATCCTCCTCAGGTTTGGTTTACTAGGACTACGTATTGGACATGGACACCGGATGAAGGTTTGAAATATCATCCAACAGGTACACCACCACAGTATAGAAGTTCATATGATGAAATATTGATGAATAGAAATGTTTAAAATTATAAATTTATTTTTGATTAAATGGATTTCAATTCTGAAGAATTAGCGGGAGTATATAATACATACGTAGATGATATGATTAATGAAGCATTGAGTGATAATAAAAATGCTCTATCTAAGGAAAAATTAATGAAAATTCCATATTCTGAATGTTACTTAAATTCAATCACTGCAGCAATTGGTAAACAAAATAAAGGTAAAACATTAACGATATTAAAACAAATTATCATTATTGCTAACACTTCACCTTATTCTCATGTGTTAATTTATATCAACCGTTCAGGTTCACCTTCTGATGATACATTTGAATCTTTAAAGCATTTAATCAAAATTCCAATTATTTATTTATCACAAGAAGAAGCGGAAGATTATTTGAAAAACTTTTTAATGTATAAAGAATTATATAATACAATCAAGAAGCAAGGATTAGAGGATAAAATTATTGATAAACAACGGGATGAATTATTTGAAACACTTTCTATTTCAAATTTTGATAGAGAATTTTTGCATTCACTAATTTTTCTAGATGATGCCGTGAAATCAAAACTAATAACTAATGAGAAATCATATTTTAATCAATTATTAACTCAATGTCGACACATTCAGTGTTCATTCTTTATGGCTGTTCAATACTTTAAAGCATTAAGCACAAACATTAAATCAAACCTGTCCACACTTTTCATTTTCAGTGGGTTTAGTCGTCAACAGTTGAACGTTATGCTTTATCAAGTGAATTTACCAATGAGCATTAATGAACTTTACACACAATATCAACAATTAGGAGAACATGGAAAAATAATAGTTGATTTAAATAAAGGTTCCATTAAATTCGAATAACTTTTTATAATTAATTTTTATTTTTTATTTATAATTAAACATGACAGAAATTGCAAATCTTCTACAGGTTCCATTAAAACAAGGAACAAACAAAAAGGGTGCATATAATAGAACTATGAAAGTTCCAGACGGAATGAAAGAATTAGTCCACATTGTTGCCGGTCTTCAAAAGATGTTAAACAAATGAGAAACGTTTTAACATTACCAGAAGCTCAAGCATATGCCAAACGTCATGGACCAAATTGGGAAGCACATGAAGCAGACATTACAGGACCAAATGGAAAACCTGATGGTATAAATGAAGTCTTTGTTACTGATGGTCAAGGAAATATTAAAGTCATAAATGGGTATAAATTAACAATGACGGATTATCCTAAACGTAAAGCATATAATGAATGTTATCCTATACAATTTGATGAAAATGGAAAAGCTGTTAAACAATACATTGGAGAAGGTGAAAATGGTTCAATATATTCATACCATCTTATTCCATATTCTTATTTCAATGAAAAATTAAATGCTGTTGAAGAGGGACCGGATGGATTACCACGATATGTTAATCAGTTTGATGGTCAATATGCAAATTTGAGACCTGAAATTCCAGCTAAGAAATTCTTTAAAGTTGCTTTATTCGATCCAGTGTTCAATGAACAGAAAGAAGCAATGAAAGCAGAATTTAAACCAATTCAAGTGGCAAGAATTTCTTCATCTTCACTTTCAGAAGCGTTCAAGGAATTGATAAAGAAACCACTTTATTCTCAACAAGGTTATAACTTTGATTTAATTAAAGAAAGTGATAGACGTAAATTAGAAAAATCAGATGGTTTTAAGAATGCATGTAATGAAATGATTAAAGATATTGTAAATGATAAAATAAGACTGGAAGAAACTCAAAGCAATATCAATAACATAATTGGTGCAGTTACAAAGAAAGTATAAGCAAACAAGGATGAACCTTGGGATATTACCGTAACAACTAAATAAAACTTTAAATATATTTTTCTTTTTTTTATTCGATTATAAATGAGAAGACGTTTCACTAGTCAAAAGAACACAAACGCAAAAGCAGAGATTACGGTTGGTTATAACGTAAATGATGATAAATCACGAATTATTCAAAATGTTAAAGTTAATGTAAGTCCTGAATTAACAAGGTCAGCAACTCAACCAAATTTATTAACTCGTGACTTACCAAAGAAAGAAGAGGAGCAAAATAAAGAAGATGGAGACCCAATCATTTTATCTGAACCCGGTAAAGAACCTGTTGAAATTCCCACTTATCCAACATACCCCCCACCACTTTCATCAAACATCGAGAACCCAGGAATCTACGATTCCAGTCGCAATGCGCCATATAAAATAGACATTAATTCTGAATTAATGAAAATATATCGCGATATCATAACTGATAATTATGATTCAATAATAAATTTAATTGACCAATCCGGTTTAATTATTTTACCTTATGAATCATTAATTCACATTATCGCCATTCTTTGTGATGTTCAAGATTCAGACGTTAAGATTCAATTTTTCATAGATGATGAGGTTTCATGCTGCGGAACGGTTGCAAAAATAAATCCTATAAAGGATATTAGCACAATTAAGATATCAAAGAACAGAACAACAACTGAACTTCATTTAACATATAATGATATTTATAATAAAATAGTTGATGAATATAAAATATCACTTGAAAAATTCTTTGTTAAGGCTATTTAATATTCAAGCATTAACATTATCGAATAATAATCCTTTGAATCATAATCAATAATAATTGACCTTTCACCAGTTTCTATCGTTTGTTTTATTTCTTTTTGTTCCCCACTATCTGGATCGGTCATTGTAATTGTTTTTGTTATAGTATCAGCTTTATCTTTAACTTCAATCTTTTTTCCATCGGGATATTTAAACCAAAATTCCAAAAATTCGATATTGTCAATCTGTTCATATTTTAATCTATCAATTACATTTTTAATACCATCTGAAAATCTTATGAAATGGTCATTATATGGGTTTGATTGAACTAAATTTGAATGAAGTGAAATATAACCCGATGATGAATATGACATCGACTCATATTTTCTGAAAACACTAAAATTTATAACATGAATGAATTTCTTATTCGTTGAATTTATGAATTCTTGAGGTAATCTTATTCTAGTTTTATTTATCACTGGAAAATAACGCTTTACCATATTTTTAATCGTAATAAAAAAATGTCAATTATCAATATTATTTCGAATAATAACTGTGAATTAAATTTAACAGTTAGTGGAATTTATAATGTTACTCTCGTTTCTGTGAGTGGTAAATTTAATCCCATTCTTTTAGACCCTTCAGATTATATATCATTTATTAAAGATGACCATGAAAAAACGTATAATATGTATATAAATAATGTAATAGTGAAATGGGATATTAACACAATTTTAAGTTATTTAAATGAATCATTTATCGTATGGTATGAAGAAAATTTTAAATCAAAACCTGATAAACTTTTTGAACTTGATGAAATAAATAACCTTATTAAATTTCCGCTGAAAATTAAATTTTGTACTCCTCGTTTTCGTTCATTGTTGGGGATATTAAATTTTGAAAAAGATGTTGGGGATGTTTTGTATTCTGACACTGGTTCCAATTTCATTTTAATCAAATGTGATAAAGTTAATACCCCAATGAGATTTTCACACCAAACATTAGACCCTAACTCTTACCCATCAATTCAAAACATTTTATCCATCAACTTAAACACATTTTCTTTATCATATCCGTTTCAATTATCCGGGAATTCATTTATTCTTCATTCAAAAGATTTATCAAATATTAAATTTAGAATAACTGACCTATTTGATTGTGATTTAGAATTCATGAATGAGATATTATGGCAATTTCAAATAGAAAAAATAGCTGATGAGATAACGGATTAAATATTTATTTTTAAATCATAATAAATGATTAAACAACAGCAACCACAACAACTTAAGGCACAAAGCACCCAGGTCCCTCAGACCATTACATACGCCATATATGCATATAATTCAAAGACGGCAGAACAAACGCAAAGGTTGAAATATGGAGATTTGGAGATAGTATTGAAAAATGAACATTTCGAATTCGTTTGCAAAGGTGGTGCAGTGATATCAAATATAAAAGAAATTTTATTTATGAATTCTAAAATTAAAGGTATAACGGATGATATAACATCAATTCCACCAGAAGAACAGAGATATTACGCATTAAATGCATTTCCTAAAGTTTTGAAGATTGGAAGATTTAATTTAAATGAGGAATTCATAGAAGGTTTCCTAAATGACATAATGAAGAAAGCAGATAAGGGATGGGTGGCTAGTGTGTTAGTGAAGAAGGCGGATAAGGAATATGTGGATGAAAAAGATAACGAAATGAAAGAAAGGGTTGACTGGTACCATGAATGGACATCGAAGATTTTAAAAACTAAAGCTGATACAGGGTGGGTTTCAGGATGTTTAGACCTTAAAGCGGATAAAACATATGTTAACGATGAGTTAGAGAAGAAAGCAAATAAGACTCATACACATACAAGTTTTACAACTGTTGCTATAGAAAGTATTGAAGGAACGGTTGAAGAAACTGGTGGGGATGTATTATATTGTAAACCTCCTAACTTTCCACAAGGTTTAACATCGGATGACGACATAACGACGATGAGAAACATTAGATGTAAAGATGTTTATGTCATGAAGGATGAACATAATATTAAATTCACTGCTCAAGATTTATATGAGAAGAAAGCAGACAAAACAGAGCTTCAAACATTAAAGACGGAAATACTTCAAACATTATATCCTATAGGCTCTATTTATACGTCAATGAACTCTACCAGACCAGAAGTAGTACTTGGTTTTGGAACTTGGACTCAAATAGTTGACAGGTTTTTGTATTGTGCAAACTCTTCAAAGGAAACAGGTGGAAGTAAAACGATTTCAGGTGAAAACTTACCTGCACATAGTCACTACATAGATTTAAGTACATCTCAAGCAGGTTGGCATAAGCATAGATATTGGGATTGGTCAGCAATGATAAAAGGTAAAGGATATGATGTTAAAGACGACGTTAAGTTTGCTATAAATTGTTTCTGGAGTAACACTGAGGGAGGAGGAAACCATATACATAATGTTTCAGGATATACACAAACAACGGGACAAAGTAAAGAATACATGCCACCATTTATGACTGTATTCACATGGTATAGAGTTCAATGAATGAACTAAATATATTTTATGTCTGTAATTAATTAGGTAATGAAGTAATGGATGAACTGCAGAAATAAATGTTTACGTTAATGTTTACGTTAAGTGACTCAAAGAGTCCGGAGACAAAGTCTCATGTTTTAGGTTATTCAATAATTAATTATTTTTGAATAAATGAAGGGTCCCTCGGTCCCTCGGTCCCTCGGTTAATTAACATCTTTTTGAAAATGATGACAACATGACATTTAGACAACAGGGGAAAAAAGGAGGAAATTCATGTCTTACATTTTTTGAATAAATGAAGGGTCCCTCGGTCCCTCGGTCCCTCGGTTAATTAACATCTTTTTGAAAATGATGACAACATGACATTTAGACAACAGGGGAAAAAAGGAGGAAATTCATGTCTTACATTTTTTGAATAAATGAAGGGTCCCTCGGTCCCTCGGTCCCTCGGTTAATTAACATCTTTTTGAAAATGATGACAACATGACATTTAGACAACATAGTGGGATTAATGCAAAAATAAATTCCAATCATACTTTATAAGCTTCATTTACAGGTATTTCATCGTCAGTAAATGAATCCTCATTATCGTTTGGTTCAACCTGTTTATATAATCCTTTCATTTCTTCTTTCAAAACATAATAACGTATGTTTACCGTCTGTTTTTCTTTGTTTCTTTTCACATTTATCCTTAATACTCATTTGAAAATTCTTGTCTTTCATGTCTGATGGTTTGCAGAATAGAGCATTTTTACACATCATACCTGCACACAATTCATCATAATGTGTATTTATCCATTCATCTAAAGGATTTGTTGATAACTCGATTAAATCTTGTTTGGCTTCAGTCATCGGTATGATTCGTACATTAAATGATGAAAGGTCGTAATTGATAAAATATGTTAGTAAATTATCATAAAAATTCCTTTGTGCATGAATCCATTAAATTCTTGAAGTAATCAAATTGACCCTTAAATTTACCATTAACCCTTAAAACTACGTATCTTCTGTCTCCAACTTCAATTTTGACAGGGTAAACGTTATTAGTTACGAAAATAAAATTGGCAACATTCTGAGCAGTTCTTCTGGGTTGATTCTTTTCATTAATTCTTATCTCATTATCCGTTATAATTGATTTCAAAGCGTTGAAGTTTGCGAGTCTATCTTCACCTACATTCTTGAGTTCATTAAGTACAAGAAACATTTTATTTTCAACAACTGAATTGAAATTACCCGTTAGCTCACTTATTTCGGTAATGTTTTTACATGAATAACCAGCGAGAAGTTCAGAAATAATGTCTGTAAATCTGTTTTTACCTATTCCCTGAAGTCCTTTCAAAATAATTGCTGTTTCATTCTTGATTCCAGGATGTTGAATCATTGATGCAATCCAGCCGAGTAGGTATTTATACACTTCATCGTTATTATCACAAATGGCTTCTTTAATGAAATTCATAAACATCTCAATTTTTGAGTAATCAGGCTTTTCGAGAACGTTGTATTTATAACCTTGAAACGTTGAGAAAACATCTGGGGAATCAGATTTAAAGCAAACACCCATAACGGTTAATGAGGATAATTGATTTAGTAGTACGTCCCATGCTGTTATGGTTTTACCTTCTTCTTTAAATAATTTAATCATTTTGAGTGACTCTTTCATGTTTGATTGAAGAACGAATGATATTTGATTCATTTTATCATGAATATTATAGTCTTTTTGAATGAAGTATTTGTTTCCACAATCTACAAAACGAATGACACGTGATAAATCCTCAATTACTTCAGAACTGTTTTTATACTGATGATTTTCAGCTTTACGTCTAATATCTGTTATCAAAAACGAGTCATCAAGTTTTATATCAAATGTTATTTTTGGCTTACGTAATAAAGGTAAAACATATTCATCATAATATTCCTTTTGATAAAGTTTCAGAATCTTCACCAAAACAAATGGAGAAGTCATTAAATGTGCATATCTATCACGTGCTTTTTCAAAATTACTTTTTGCATTTTCTGTTAAACTGCAGAAGTTATAAACGTTGTCGTATGCTTCATTAATTAAATGATTAGGTAACGAATTAATAGCTTGAAACAGTGTGAATAATGTAACTTCTTTTTCTAAATTCATGTTTCCACCATCATTATGTACTTCAAAATCACAGATGCCATCAACTATGCTCTGGGCAAGTTTATCGTCAATGTTTACATCTTTGTCTTCATTCATTATATTCTTTATTTCTTCGTTCTTCTGTTCAACTCTTACCTTAATATTCAAATCATTTAATATATCATTCACTGTTCTAGTTAATGTTGAATCATAACTTCCACGAATGAATGAGTATGTATTGATTGGTTCTGTTGCATTCTTGCGAACTCTTGAATCAGCCATAACCACTAATGAACGCTTTGAATCATCCATTGAAGTCATGATATCGATATCATAATCATTGCAGGAATAACATTTAATCATTCTGTTCGAGGTTGAATAGAAGAAATTAGTGTTGCAATAAATGTGAAGACCTCCTGAAGCGGTTTTAACGATAACATCTTTATCCGAAAGTTTTGATAAAATATCTTTTCTTACTGTTTCTTTAAGTTCATCATTGTATGATTTATTGATATCAACATCTATAATAGTTAAATTTGGAATTTTATTTACTAATAAAGCCATACCAGTTTTCCTTCCTCTTCCTCCATCGTGTTTGAGGTAGTTATGTAAATCAATCTTGTTTTCACCAATTCTTTCGTTGAGGGTTTTAGTTTCTGCCACAACTAATTCCTCAGCTAATGAATCAATAACTTGTTCATCAGAAATGATAAAGTTGCTGTTGTTGTTTGTTGCTGTCATTTATATAGGAATAAAAAATAAAAATAATTTTAAAACTAACTTTATTCAAAAAATGTAAGACATGAATTTCCTCCTTTTTTTCCCCTGTTGTCAAAATGTCATGTTGTCACTATTTTCAAAAAGATGTTAATTAACCGAGGGACCGAGGGACCGAGGGACCCTCATTTATTCAAAAAATGTAAGACATGAATTTCCTCCTTTTTTTCCCCTGTTGTCAAAATGTCATGTTGTCACTATTTTCAAAAAGATGTTAATTAACCGAGGGACCGAGGGACCGAGGGACCCCTCATTTATTCAAAAAATGTAAGACATGAATTTCCGCAAATTCTTTCACAAACTTTAGAACAGCATAATTTAAATTTTTATTTTTATCATAAATGGATACCCCACAAGCTCAAAATTTACCACGAATCATAACAAGGGAGGAAATGATAAAAATGATGCGAGAACATGTTAAAAATAACAAACCACTAAAATTGAGAAAATGTGGTTATGCAGTAATGATGGAAAGAGAGATGTTGTCAAAGAAAAATAAAAATTAAATTTGGATTGAGTTTAAAAATTCATCTTTATTAAATTCATCTCTTCCAACCAATTTATTTATTCTATTAAATTCTTTTATTTTTGCTTCACTCAGTTTAAGGATTGAACGGCAAGTTTCTAATTTTTCGATTATTTCTTTATCGTTTTCAACCCCACCGCATTGCGACTTCTTTTTGTAATAGCATATTTTTGATTTAATTCTGTTTAGTTTCTTTTTATATTCATCGTCTGGACTCTTGACTGCTTTGTTGTCACTCATTTCTTACGAAATAAAAAAAATTAAATATTATTTAAATATAATGGAGTAATAAAATAAATCGGAATTTCTATTAATTTATTGTCAACTTCAACTAATGCATTGCCGTTAATATATCTAACAAATTCAGCTATTGTGTCAAATCTTCGTCTTCTTTTTGTCATTGATTTATCAGTTTTTCCATAATCGAGATGAATCAAAACTTTATCCCCTTGTTTAAAATTCATGAGCCCTGAATTAATTTGTTCACGTTTAACATCATTTAACCTTTCCATTTGCTTTCTAATATATTCCCATTCTTTTGAAATATCATTTTTCATTTCCACTGGTTTCATGTTAATAGTTCTATGCCATGTATTATTGTAATAATATACTAACTGCTGTATGATGGAGTCATGATTTCCATCCCAGTATATCTGACCGTTAACCCCTAACGCATCTCTAAGAGTTCTCATTACTGCATCAACTATTTTATTATGAAACGTATATGGAGAGGATGAGAAGTAAAAATTAATTTGTGGGAAATAATGAGTCATGGCTGCCTGAAATCCTTTATCGCCATCACCCCTGATATTATCTACTCTTTCCTGATCTAGTAAGTATTGAATAGCTCTTCTTGTTTCCTGTTCTGTTTTCCCTTTCACCGGAATGCAATATAAATATCTAGTGTTAATGTTAATGGCAAATAAATAAGTAATATTTCCTTTTGAATATTCCAGATGATCGATTTCGTATGAATATGGATATGGAGCAAATGAAGGTCGACTAAATTTTTCCTTTAATGGTTGAATTTTCGGGTCAATTGGTTTATTTAATATTTGAAATCCTTTTTAAAATCTTTTTGCTTCTTTAATGTTTGAAATGGACATAATAAAGTGAATGATGAAGGATTAACTGAAGGAGGAGGAGGTATACTGTTGGAGGTTTTGGTGTTGTAAGTGGTTTAATTTTATCTGCTTTGATTTTGGATTTCATTCCCCCTTCATTAATTCTGGATGTATTCTATTCATTTGTTTTAAATATGCTGTATATAAAGGTTTGATATACTTTCCCGCTTCGAGTTTATGTTGAAGGATGAATTCCAAAAGTTGATCTTCATTTAAAAGTCGGGCTGAATATGTTTTAACTAATGAATCATAAATTAAAGCTTGTGCATCATTTATGAGCTGCTGAACGTCCAAACTTTTCTCTTTTGGTTTTGTGGCTCAGGATTATATAATTTATATAATTCATCAATATCTTCTTCTGTTAATACTTTATTTTTGAAATCTTTCAACTGTTTAAGTTGTGATTTACTTTTTCCCTTTGAATATTTTCCTTCTTTAATGTTCTCTCTTAAACGTTTAATTATTTTATCATGAT